CATATTTAAAGACACTTGTCAGGGGCCTCTGGGTGGCTCAGTCATTTTACATGGCCAGCTTTAGCTCAGGTCTGATCTTGAGGTTGGCAAGTTCCAGTGTGCATCAGGCTCTGTGTTGACAGCTCAGAGTCTGGATCCTGCTTCTGATTCTGTGTCTCCCTCTCTCTCTCTGCCCCTCCCCCACTCATACTCTGTGTGTGTGTGTCTCTCTCTCAAAAATAAACATTTAAAAAATTAAAAAAAAATAAAGACCAGTATCAGTTAAATTATTTTTCTATTAAAAAATGCAATATTTTTCATAGTATTAAGTATAAAGGGATATATTCAAGTTTTGAATCTTTGGACAATCCAAATATATGGGCTGTACCCTTTACATTCTAAGCAGCCTTATCTCCTCGCTTGTAGACTGCTTATTTGAATTGTCAGTAGACATTTATAAGATGAAAAACATTTTTACTGTTGGTTTATTATTTAGACAAGTATTCACTGTGCTATCTAAAAAGGAGATTCCATGATGAAATAAATGTGGAAAATACAGTTGCTAATTTCCCTCTTTTAGTGAACCACACGGTATACATCAGCATATTAAAGGCTCTGGTAAGTCCTGCAATAAATCAGCCTCCTTAATGTCAACGTTAATTCATCTGGTGTTTCTCAAACTTATTTCATCAGATAATTATTTTTGTTTTGCTTTACATAAAACCTGTAAACATCCTGTGGGACTCTGCTTGTATAGAACATATTTGGGTATCTTAAATAAATGTTATTAGAAAAAAATTGCTGCTTAACCCTTAACAATAATTTAAGTCAAGTGTAAATAATGTTTGAATTATCTATTGATTCAGTTGCCCATTACCATTATTGCCATCTCTTCTCCAGCCCCATGGGGCACAAGGCCCTAATCATAACCTTATAGATGGTACAGAGATGATTTACAATAATGGGTAATATAAGAAATGTTATTAGGGACAAAAAATAAAAGCACTTTAACAAATGGAAAATAATCCAAAAAGAAATGACTAGCTTACTTTAAACACTTTTTGCTATAAACCAGCAAGTGGTGTTTTGCAGAATAATTTAAATAACTCTAGGTTCCTGTTCTGTAAGTCTCAAGAGACAGAACTGGCCCAAGATGACTATTGTTAGTGCTATAGCTTTGATTAAATGAACTTCATTGTGGCCCTAGAGTGATAGTCTTTCCAATGAGAAGCAATGAGAATGCTCAGAGATAATGCTACTTCAGGATAATTGTTTCAGATTCCATATATGTCTTATGACCATATAAGATGGAATCCTGAGACACCATTAACAAATTTTTACATTCTAGATTAAGTGTGTGTGTGTGTTTGCATGTGTGCATGTTTTAAGATTTAAGATTAATTCAAATTAATAAGAGTGAATGAGTATATCCCCTTTCCCATTTTCTGGGATGTTCTTAACTTGTATCACAATTTTTCCTCAATAAAGATTATGTAGTAAATGTGAAAGTAATTAACACAATTTTTTTAAAGTATACAAATATTCACAAGTCCTTCAACTGAGGTATTTCCAACAATATTCTTTGCTATAATCTTAATTTTCTATATTTCAACCAGGCAAAAGCCACTGCATTTTTGAACAAGATAACCTGAGCAAGAGGTAATTTTATTTCTTTAACAAATACAGCTTAGTTGCTATGAATATATGATAAAACCAACCAGTAAAGAAAATATTTCTTTTCTTTACTAATATCATGTGTATAAGGTATTGATTACTATAAAGTTTGGACTTTGTTAATTTTTGGGATTGGAGAAAGTTTTTTTTTTTTTTAGGTTTATTTATTTACTTTGAGGGGGGTGGGGAGAGATAGAGGGAAAGAGAGAGAATCCCAAGCATGCTCCATACTATCGGTGCAGAGTTGGCTCTGGGGCTTTAACCCACGAAAGGTGAGATCCTGACCTGAGCCAAAATCAAGAGCCAGACGCTCAACCAACTGAGCCACCCAAGCACCCCAAGAAACAGTTTTCTTTAAATGTTTACTTTTATTTAATAAAAAATTGTAAATTAATGTTTTCTACATTAAAATAGACTACTTAGCATTTTAGTTTCTTTATAATTACAAAATGCATTATGACAAGTTTCTCATAATTATGACACTTTTTTATAACAAGTGATGTATGGGGCTCATATTTATGCTACTCAGATGAAAGCCTCTATTTAAAACACTTAGCGAATGTGATGAATTCAACTTGAAAAAACGACTAATGGGAAATTTTTATCTTGCTCAATTCTATTTTCAGTGCAAATATCACTTCAGAATTTGGAGCTGAAATGAGAATGTAAGTTTTTTACAAAGCATTTTTTATTTATAATAGTTAATTTCTTGAGAAATTAGATGTCATATTTTAAAATTCACCAGAGGATTCTATTTTTAAAGTGAATCCTGTGGGGCATCTGAGTGGCTCAGTCAGTTAAATATCTGGCTCTTGATTTTGGCTTAGGTCATGATCTCATGGTTTGTGGGTTCCACCCCTGCAAAGGGCTTTGCACTGACAATGCAGAGCCTGCTTAAGATTCTCTCTCTCTTTCTCTCTGCTCCTCCCCTGCTTGCACTCACTCTCAAACAAACTTAAAAAAAAATTAAAAAGTTAATCCTGCAGCTAAGCATTTTTCAGAATACAAATATCTGCCTCCTGTACTCACACACACATACAAACACATACGCACATTCACACGCACACACACACACACATTCACTTGTTAAAATTTTCGTGTATCTCATATTTGTAAGTCAGGTCACAACCTGATAGGAAACATGTATTAACTCCACTGTAGAGGTTGAAAGACTTCTGCTATCCCTCTAATACTGTTACCATGCCCCCATTAATTTTCCCCACTGTCATTGGTACAGTTGTGGAAAGTTGTGTAATACTCAACTTTCTTTAAAGAATTTTTTCAATGTTTATTTTTGAGAGAGAGAGAGAGAGAGACAGAGATAGAGACAGAGACAGAACAGGAGCTGGGGAGGGGCAGAGAAACAGGGAAACACAGAATCCGAAGCAGGCTCCAGGCTCTGAGCTGTTAGCACAGAGCCCAATGCAGGACTCAAATTCATGAACTTTGAGATTATGACCTGAGCTGAAGACAGATGCTTAACTGACTGAGCCACCCAGGTGTCCCTCTAATACTGTATTTTCTCATAGAAAGGCCTGAAGTAAAATATAGGCATTATTGGGGCCTGAGCTTCTCTCTTTCAGTCCTATGATATTTTCACACAAGAAGTTGAAGAAAAAAATAATTTAGATCACCAAATTTATATGCTGATTTCTAGGATCTAGGATTTCCTTTCTTTGATTATATAAAATGACCAAATCCTAATATGTAACTAGGAAAGGCTCATGACAACAATATGAGTATAATTACAGTGGAGATCAAAATATTTTATTCACTAGATGAAACATTGACTTTTGGGAAAATTTTCAGATACAAGAAAAGGAATTTACTACAAATGATGTGATGGAAAATATAAAATTAACAATTTTATTTATATTTGTGAATTGCAGGCTTTTCATATCTTCCTACTATTCACTAATAAAAATTCTCCAATTGAAATCTGTAGGACTTGTTGGTAAGATCTTCAAATTCTACTATATAAATAATAGAAAATCAATATAAATTTTCAAGTTATAATACTCTTTGAAAGAATGAAACTCTTAGTAAAAGTCTCTATTCAGATTATATATTTTAAAAACCATGGAAAGATTTGTAATTCATGATACAAAAGATTTTAATACATTGGAACATTGTGGCGGTGTTATTAGGTGCGATGCATGCATTGTCTTTCCTGCTTGAAATGACATCAGCAGGATGCCCCTGTGTCTGGGCAGCTTGTGATTCAGCGTTCCCCTATCATGTATTCCATAAAGATGCTCAGATGTCTAGAATGCACTGTGCTAAGGTGTCTTAATGGTCTCAATTCAGACATGAAACACTCTGCAATCCTCCCCCGGGCTCACTGCTCCAGCTCCCGCAGCACTGCTGCCCACAGTCCCTCCACTCACCTTTCCGTTCAGCCGCCTCAGCCCTGGTCAGGTGGTGGTAGAAGTGACCCAGCTTATCAGGCTGCTCCTCCAGGGGTCTCTGCAACCAGAAAAGGGACCTAACTCTTGCAGCCTCCTGCAGGGCATCCCACTTCTCCATCAGGGCGAAGAGCTCAGTAAAGGACTTGTGATAACCGTCTCGCAGCATGTCCACACAAATGTTCTTCTTGTACGAGTTCCGGTAACTGGGAAGAAGAAACCCAACACTCAGAACATGATTTTAATCCTTTAAATCCATGCAGTGTTTTTCTTCTCTAAAGATTAAAGGTTGAAATGTGCTGCCTTTTTTTTTCCCCTCAGTGAAAGCTGAAAACTATCTTTGCCTCACACGCTTATAATTGAACAACTTCAGTTTAATGAAAGATGCCAGGAGCTACCCAAATGTAGTAATTTTAATAAAATTACATTATAAATATAGCAGTTCCAGAGCTGAGCTCTGTTTGATAGGGACAAATAAACTAGTTGACTGATGTCAGTCCATTCTGGCTGCTAGAACAAAATACTAGTGACTGAGTAGCTTATAAACAGCAGAAATATATTGCTCACAGTTCTAGAGGCTGGAATTTCAAGATCAAGTCACCAGCATGGTCGCCTCCTGGTGAGGGCCCTCTTCCTTGTTCATGGTTGGTGCCTTCTCACTGTGTCCTTACATAGTGGAAGGGTAGGGATCTCTCTGGAGACTTTTTCTTTCTTTTTTT